TTCCCATTTGCACTGAGTAATTAGTATGCAAATTAGACCCCGGGACCACACAAGTTCTAGTATATTACAAGGGCTTTATTATGCTCTTGTGAGTAGATGATGGAAGCGGCCCATGACAGTGTTTATCTCACTACCTCTCTCTCTTTTTCTCTCTCACATACATTGGCAGAGAGTAAACACATACTGAGCCGGGCCCTGTACCATTATGACTCCCTGAAGATGCCACCAGCTTGCCTTTATCCCGATGACCAGAGTTAAGAGCCTTCTCTGGAAACACCATAACAATGATGTTAATAATAATAATAACAACCCTGATGATGGTGACGCTAAGAGCAGCCTTGGCTCTGGCAGTCATGGTGATGATTGCAGGAGCAAGAAGAAGGATCAGAGTGAGCCAGAATGAGCTCTTTTTCACCTGGATCATGCTGTGGAGGAGCAAGAGCTGGCCTCAGTTTCCAGGTCTGCAGGGATATCCTGCTTTCTTGAGCACAGGATTATGGTGTGTTAACTGCTCTTGATGTGTGATGCTCAGAGCAGAGCATCTTTATAGTCTTTGGTGATTTCCAGGCTACTGAGCAATAGATCTCAGCTGAAGTATGCTCCTGGGCTCCTCTCTCCTTATGTTTTCTGTACACCATTCTTGGTGTACCACTTTCTCTTTTTCCCTTTATTTCTCACTGAGGTGGTCTCCAACCATATATCTGGTGATGGATAGACCTCCCTGAATATAAGTACTTTCTATTTAAATTAGACTGAAAGGCACGAGCAGCATCCTCTGTCTCTGCTACCAGCATGACTTAAGTCACTGAGGCACAGACTGAAGTCAGTCTCCATGATCCATGGGTACTGTGCTGGGAGATTGAATATGTTTCCATGGGACTGAACTCCTGCCCATGGGTAGGAGCTGAACCTACTAGCTTGGGTGCTCAGCACTCTGTTGAGCTATTAGTTATAATTTCTGGTTGTCATAACCAGGGCTGATGCCAAGCCAGTCACCTGCATGTGAATGCACACAGTACCTTTCCTGCCCCTGACCGCAAATGCTCTCTTCAGGTCTGAGATCTCATGTCTCACTTACTTGGGGGTTGAAGCAATGAATACTGAGGAGCTGGCAGAGGTGAAGGAATGGAAGGTGAAACCTCATCCCTACTTACTGGACCCTTGTGGCATGCAGTCACCTCCACAAGCATGTTGGGCTCCATTTCAGAAACGAGCAGGTTTTTGCCCAGAGAATTCCGCGAGGAAACCCTGGCTGTGAAGCTCTTGGTCTTTGACTAAAAGAAGATTTATGAGTAGGCATATGTGCTCTGTGGAGATGGAACCTCCTGCAGTCACTATTGTGCTTCTGCAGATGCCTAGGACTTCATGAAGGCATGGTAGAGTCAGAGGGCCTAGGGTGGGGGCATAGAGACGTGGATTTGTACTAGACTGTGCAGGGCTGCCCATAGGGCAGGGCTAGTGTGGCAGACATCAGGCATTAGGCTGTCTCCGGGGAGCTGCCTTTTTAGGGATCACTGCCACCATTCACTTTGGTTTGTTCCCATTTGTGGGGGTTTTTTTCTTATCCTGGGAGCTGACCATCCTGGATGTTTGCTGTTATGGAGGACAAAGAGAAAACTAGAGGAATGGTGGGCTTTTCTAGTAGGTGACTTCTTGGGGCTTAATGCTGAAGAACTTCATGCAAAAGGAGAGAGAGCCTGAAATCCCAGAGGAAAAAAAAAAAAAAAATTGGCCACATTTGTCCTGAGCATAAGCGAAGGGCAAGGGAGGATCTGTAGAGGCGGCAGTTTTTGTAAAGCACTGAAGTGCCCCACACATCATGCCCTGACAGGCCCTGATGTTAGCTCCCGGAATGGATCACAGGAGACTCATTAGAAAAAACAAATATTATCACACGCTGAAATGATTTATGGAGAAAAATGAAAAATTTTGTGTTGTTGCGTCCTCGCTCCCTGGCTCTCCTTTGCTTTCGCTCAGGGAAGTTATTTATGGCAGCGGGCCCTTAACAAGAGCAAGGCAAAGCGCCGAGCTGCTCGCTCCTGCAAACTGCCTGCATTTGATTTTTATTAGCGAGTTAAAACTTCCTTCTTTTCACCTCCCCCCTTCCCCTCACGCGCCTTTATTATCCCGGACTAACTGAAATGCATTTTAATGCCTACTACTTGTGCTTTTAATAGTGATCCTATCGCCACCCCAGCAGCAAATAAAGTGACATTGACAGGGGGAGGAAGGCCGGACAGACAGCCGGGCAGACAGGAAGGAGTTACAGCCCGCGTGCTCTCGCTCCTCGGCTGCTCGGCGCCGATACCTTCCCAGTAACCCGAGAGCTGTTTTATTGTCCGGCCAGCAAATGCACACCCAACCGCTGCCGCCCCGATGTGTTCACAGCCCTGGCAGCTGCCGCTGTTGTGGCAGGAGTGGACAGTGCCCTGGCGGGTGGCATTGGGTCCATGAGAGGTAGCTGGTCTTCTCCTCCCATTCGTGACCAGAGGCGGTGGGTGGGAGGCACCACAGTTTCTGTGAGAATGGCAGACCCTTTGCATCATATCTGTGACCAGAGGTGGCGGGCAGATCTGGAGCTTTCCCCAGGCTTTGCAAGTGTGCCTGGGTGGGGTTTCCATAACCTAAGCTCTGCTAACTAGAGGGAACAGCCCTACAACTTCCCAGTCAGTGCTGTTGGGTCCCAGCCTCACACAGAATGCTCCTTCACCATGGCGTCAGTTGGAGGGTGAAGAAGGGCTGGTGCCTTTCCACTCTGGGACACATCCTGGCCACTGGAGCAATTTTCCTGGCCTCAGCTTTGCCAAATTACCACCCTGAGCTGTGACCAGTAGGAGAATCCTAGCAGGGGTCACAGCCAGCCTCCAGGCTGCCATCCCTTCCACTCAGTTGCTAAGTGTCTCCAGAGCCATAGTGACTATGCCAGGCCTTGGTTCCCCCAGAAACTGTCTGGGTGGCTGAACAAATCTGTTCTTCCCTATCCAGGCATCCCCAAAGTGGCAGGATAAACTTTCCGGAGCGATGGTTATCTTTTGGCCTTTCTCTCCTTTCCCTCTTTGTGTGGATCTTTTCATATAAGCCCAGTCCGGGCATCCTCCCAGTCAAGGGGTCCTCCCATCCTTGGCCACAGCCCTTGACAGTTGTCTTCTTCATAGTGTCCAGGGTTTTCAAGGGAGCTGGGATCCCTGCACTGGTTAATGCCTGCTGACACCTGCAGCTCCTCAGCTGGTGCTGCTGGCTGGGGGAGGCGCAGGGAGGGGGGGATCGTTGGTGGCATTATTATGAAGAGCTCAGCAGGCCTGGGGCCATCCATTGTCCGGGTGGCAAATAAATAAATAGAAGAAAGCAAGTCTTTCCTATGGCTCGGCAACGGGAGGTTAACAGCTGGACATGACATGACAAATTGAGCATTTTTTTTCCTGCAGGGGCTGATCCCAGCAGCTTAGTGTGAGGAGGAGGGATGAGGGAGAACAGCTGAAGGAGGGGAGGGAGAAATTGGCTGGGTGAGGGTCCCATTGCTTTGTGGAGAGGCTTTGTCCCAAGCCAGCCACCTCCCTCCCCACCAAGCCAGGGCCCCAGGCCAAGTCTCTAGAAAACACATCCTCCAGAAGGGAATCCCCATCCCTCAAACATCAGCCTTAAACTTGTGCACCTGATTCACACCACGACAGGTCCCTGCAGCCAGCCCTCGTGTTATTGTCCCCCCTCTGGCGCAGCTCCGCTCCGAAATCAGGCAGCACAGTGCCTTTTAACGGCCAATAAAACCCGGAATTCTCCAGCAGGAAAAGCAGGGAAATTAATCAAATCGTGGATCTGCTGTGAATTACGTGCCCACCTCCCATCTGCCTGTTCAGCCGGCTCACCTTCCCCTCCCTGCCTGCAGCCCCTTCGGCTTGCGGCAGGAGGGAGCCTTTATGGCTGTGCCTGGAGCCCTTGCCATTTGTCGTGGGCTTAATAGAAAATGTGTTAAACATACAGGAAATAGCCCAAATGTTACCAACACGTTTAGTTAGCTTGATTTGTTTCTTCTTTTTGTGAGTGGCAGGGAGTGGTTGGTTTAATTTGGAAATTGTGGGATCCAATGGCAGCTGGCTTTGTCCCCAAGATGGTCTTTCCTGAAAGCCTCTGCTGAAATGGTGCCTTTGGCTTACCGTGCTGCTGGTGGCAATGATGTCTTTCACATCAAATGCCATCTCTGGTGCTTTTTGGAGCTGTAGGGTTTTTTTGAGGCATCTCCTCAGGCATTTCCACCAAACCCAGTCTCCCTCCTCTTTGAATGGCTGCTGCACTGCGTGTCCATTGATGGGGTCCATGGGCTTTTCCTTAGGCTTTACAGCATGTGGGCACCTTGGGCCTAGCCTTCCTCCATGACTTTTATTCCCACCCTTGTGCCTCCCAAGACCTGCCAAGGACCTTAATGTCTCCAGAAGAGACAGCTGCAGCTCTTTGGAGGTCCTCCATATCCAAACACTATTCTGCCCAGAGTTGCTCTGCAGCCTTTTCTGTACCCTCTTTGCAGTGTGTTGAGTTGCTGAAGTTGTTTGGGAGAGCTGGAGTCTGCTCTCTGCCACCTGTGAAAGCCAGGAGCAGTTAGGGACTGGATGTCACTCATATTCAGACTTCACTGAGCTCCCTTCACTGCATTGATGTGGCTGGAGAGGAACTGAAAGCTCTCATCCATCTCAGCTAATGTGTCTGGGACCCAAAGGAAGTCCTCTAAAGCAGCAAACATGACCCAGGCTACCCAGGAGAAATAGCCAGGATGTTTTTTTTCTGTGTGGTGGACACCAGTGGAGTCATTGCTGTGACTGTGGTGTGGATAGACCCAAGGGAGCTGGAGCCATGGTGGGTGGTCAGGAGGGAGACTCTATAAACCCTATCAATCTCCTCCTCTGGCTCCCATACATCTGCTTGCAAAGGGAGGGGGAGGCAATAACCTGGTGTCCGCTCACCAATGGCGCTTTGGGAGGTGGAAGGGGGAGGAAAGGGGGAAACGCCAGCCCCGATCCCTTGGCAACTGCGGGCTGAAATATTAACTGGAAGAATGTGCCCAAGACTTGGCCCCCACACTGGCCTGCTCCAGCACTGCCTCCTGGGGGGGAACAGGGAGGGGGCAGCCTGTTTGCACAGTCCAAGTGTCAACTAATTAATAGGAGTTTATAGGAACATTTCCAGGGCATCTGGCTGAGGAGCAGTGGGGGAAGTGCCCCATGTTTCCTGAATCTCGGCTGTCACCCAGTGCTCTTCAATGCATCTTGGAGGGACAGTAGCTGATTGGATGTGCTCAGGGGTCTGCATGACCAAAGCAGCTCAGGTGGGTCACTGCATTGCTCCTTCCTGCCTTTGCTACCACCATGCAAAGGGGTGCCCATGGCTTGTTCTGCAGACCTCTTCATTGCATGGACACACTTCTCTTCCCAGGGCCTTAAAGTTTCTCTTATATGACCCAAATGGGTTAATTTGTTGATGCCCTACAGCAGTTCCCTGAGCACCCATGCTCAGTTGAGGAGCTGCAAGTTTCACATGCTGCTGTCTGTCCTCTAAGGTACAGGTGTGGATGTGTCCATTCCACACTGTAATTTCTCGTGTTTTCTCAAGCAACATGAAAGATGCTTCCTGGGAAACGAATATGCTCCTAACAGTGTATGTGCTGTATGCTTCCCTCAGAGCACAGGTGTTGCTTACTCTTGTGTTGACATGAGTGAGAGGCTTTGCTTGTAGATCTGTCCCAATGCATAACATGCTCCTTGGGACAGCTCCCCTCCTGTGCTTTGCCTGGTCATGGTGTAGGGATCTTACAGAGGCTGTCAAGATGGAGCTGTCCTGGGGAAGGGCACAACCTGAGAGAGCACCCTGGGGTGCCCCACACAGAGCGAGGCTGGAGACCCATGTTCCGAGCACCCTGAATTTAAGGCCTACCTGGCTGTAATCTTTGAACAAACCAATAAATGAAGTGTAATAACCAAAACAGTGATTGTTTTTCTCACAGTAGCTGTGGAAATCTCTCCCGGGGGAGCATAAAGCTGCCAGCCTCAGGTTTTAGATCACAATCCCACTAACCTTCCTGTCCCCTGGGCAATAGTGTACTGCTGCTGCCCTCAGAGCTAGGCTCTATTTATTATATATACTGGCCTCTGTATGTGGCGGTGTGTTCGTAAAGCCTGATTGAGCTGTAAGGAAAAGTGCACTCAAGGGGAAGGAGGAGACAAATGCCTGATCTGGCCTGCTCTAAATATGGGCTGATAACCTCTGTGGGTGCTGCCAGAGGATTCAAGTTGGTCATCCAGATGCAGCTCCCACTGCACAAAGGTGTTCTTTGATAGCTGTCTTCCACAGATGACCACAGTTGTCCCTGCCATTTTAACTACTCCTTAGGTGCCTGAAGGGCTACAGAAGCACAGCAGAACTAGAACAACTTTCTCTGAACTGGTGGCTCGCCGTTTGCAAGGATCTGCAAAGTCCAACTTGGAGAAATCGAGACCCCTGACTATGCAGGTGCAGCTTGGTGCAGGCAGCAGATGGGACCCCAGCACTTCTGGGGACGCCGAGTCCAGAGCCTGCAAGGTGTTGTAGCTTCTGGATGGTAATGAACAATTTTGTGTGTCTGAAATGATAGTTACATGTAGCCTGGACTTAAATCACCCGCAGGTCTTCGCCTTCAGGTGTTGCATAGAAAACCAGGTCGGCATAGAAAGGACAGTGTTTTGATCTCCTTACCATAAAGATCTTTGGCCCTGGGCTTGGAAAAACCTCATCAGGGTGGCAGACATTAGCAGGGACCCATGTTCCATGCTGTTCAGCATCACTTCTGTGTGCTGGAGGGTGAGGTTCTGCAGGGAAAACCTTGGTCAAAGAGAGAAGAGGGAATTCTACAGGGGTGCTGTAGTGGCTTGTGGCAGGGTATGGATCTGTGCACAAGTGTACACAAACATGCCCAGCAGTGCTCATTTGTGTGTTACAGATCTGGTATTGCTCAACTCTGGGAGCAAAACTTCTGTACCAGTGCCAGTAGCCATCTGGTGTGGATGGCTGAGGGTCACAGCACTGCTGCTCCATCCGGTGAGTCACCATGGGGCTCAGCAGCACCTTGACTGGACATTCCCATTTCACTTTTCCCAGTTTATCTGGTTTTTATACAAATGCTAACTGAGGCTGTGATAAAACAGGAGACAAGATAGACAGGGCCCAGTCAACCTGCTGGGGGATGGCATGACCCATGAAAGCCCCAAGGGACAAGCACGACACTGTTCTCCACTACAAAACCCGACTGTGAGTTGATCATTGGCTGTAATTACTTCCAGTTTCTGAAAGCATTTACTCCCAGATCAGGGCTTGGTATTTCAGAGCCATTTTCAGACCTATATCTCAAAGGTCACCCTCCTGGTATGGCTGGCAGCAGGAATGCACTCCAGCAAACAGTGTGCCTGGAAGTTGCTGGAGTCATCAGCAAGTTTCCCTGCTTATCTTGCTGTGGTTTCTATTGCAATATCTTTGCTAGGTGAGAGCCCAGTACAGATTGACATGGCAGCTGGCAGACTGGGAATGACAAGGCTGCCTCATCCAGTCAAGAAGGGACACAGTGGTACAGCACATAGCTACTTTTCACTGGGGTAGTACAGAGCTAAAAGATCTTTCATTTTCCAGGAATCTGCTCCCTCCCCCTACATTTAGCTTTCCTATATAATATTCCATGCTGTAGCCTATAAATGCTGCTCTGAGCCCACAGCCTGATTGAATTTGGAAGCCTTTGTTTACAGATGTCTGGCTGTACAGGGGTATTTATTGAATTTTCCATGAAATGTTGCTCCTCTAATGCTGTAAAGCACAAGCTGCCCACATCAGAGGAGCTGCGTGTTAAGGGATCGGGTTTCGCAGAGATGCATTGCTCTCCACACTGCTCTCCCTCAGCATCCTTTCCCTGCCAGGGAAGGAAGATGGGTGCTGAAGTCCATGCACAGCAGGGATTTAAGGGGATTGGCCCTCGAGAAGAGGAGAACTGTCTGTCTTGTGCTCTGGGGCTGGATGGTACATTTGGTCCTGCGAGGCAGCAACTCCAGCCACATGCAATGCAGCCCGGCCAGTGCTGAGGGCAGAGCAATTCTCTGCAGGGCACAGCATTACCCACGTCTGCTGGTGGGATTGCAGGTGGGTCTGACTTTGGGTACTGGCTCTTGGTGGCTCTGAAGAGATCTTGATGGAAGACAAATGTCCTCAGAGCTTTTTTGTGCCTTCCTTTGAGGCCTGAATTGTTGGGAAACAGTCAAAATACTGGATAATTTATTAAGATGTCTCTTTGCTCACTCTCTCTTCAGTCCATCTTTCCTTGTTCATCTGATCCACTGATGCCCCACAAGAAGGCTCTTATCAGGAAAAGAAACAGGATTTTCTTACTGGGAGAGCTTTGTGGAGCCCCTCGGAGCATCCAACCTCAGTGTGTCATTTTTAACCCAACTGTCTTGGGAGGAAAATGAGGGAGAGCCTGGTCTGTGAAGGACACATCCGGGACCTGCCATTCTTGCAGTGCTAGCTGGAGGAATGTGTCTTCCTTCCTCATGAGGGAAAGTACAAAACCATCTTGCAAAACTCTGGGTCAGGAGCCCCAGGATCTCTGATGTAAAATAAATGATTCTCGAGAGAGAGCATGTGTTCACCATGTTAGAAAAACAAGCCCCCTGCAAACAGCACATACCAAAGTCTGCCTGGAGGAAGGGACTTCAAGGGTGGACGGAGGGAGCAGTCTGAGCATCAGAGCACAGCCTGCCCCCCTCTCCCAGGCTGGATCTTCACACTGGTCCGAGGAGGAGGCAGGAGGGATGGGGGCTTGTTTTCTCAGATTTGATTGGTTTATTTATGTTTGGTCCAGGCTCCCATCTGGTCCAACTTCAAACAGGGGCTGCCGCAAAATGTGGAAGCCACCAAGAGAGAATCTGCAAACAACAGTTGTGCAAAGTATATAAATATTTCTGGACATAAAAATGACTGTGTCTGAAGAGGGATCACATTGAGCTGTGATGGAGGGTTCCCTGTCTTGCTTGAGATAAGTCCTGGAGAGTGGCTGGAGCAAGGAGAAATATGTGCTTATCTACAGTTTACATGTGCATGTGCAAGGGCAGAACCAGGCCTGCTGAGTGCTGCTATGCGGGAGACTGCAAGGCAAGGGGAGGACAATGAGGAAGTCTGTCTGTGTGCTCTGGATATAATAGTCAGCGTGCAAAAATGTCCACTGATTTGGGGGGCCAGAATTAGATTTTGGGCTTGTAACTCACTGAAAAACCCAGGATGGTATGTCTCAGCTTCCAAAATACAGCAGCTGCATTTGCAAAGTTTGGTGTAGATGCTGGACATGAACCTTTAATTGAAGATAGGGAGAAAATCCAGTTCTGTTCACAATGGCATTTTGTGCTGTTTGAACTGGAACAAGTATGTGGGCCAGCATCCTTGTGCATCCCCAAGCAATGCAACTGGGGGCTTCATAGAGATCAGCTCAAAGTTTATAGTTTGGATGGCATTCCTTCAGGAAAAATGGGCAATGGTTGGCATTACGCCTGGCCTAAGACAGTGTCTAAGTTCATGATGTTGAAAAGGACATGAAGGCTATGCAAAGGAATTTGTAACTTATGCTGCAATGGAGGGAGCTGCAAACACCACTGAGAGCAAAGAAATATTGTCAGGGTAGAGAGGACAATGCATGCTAGGAGGGGATGCTCAGGTGTAGAAACAACATATGGCATTCCCAGATGTGCTTCTCAGTATCCAGGTAATGGTCCTTCCTTGTGTGAGGTAATATGTATTTCTTTCTGGGATGAGGAGAGGGGCAAGGAGAACACAGGCACCTCTGTGGACTCATTGATACATTTGGGAACATTTGGGGGTGATGGGTCTTGTGGGGTTCACTAGGAGTGTGAGTGACAAGGCATTCTCCATGCTGCAGCTCCCCTGAGGCTCAGCTGTCCTTTGACCTCTGACCACAGGAACTGGAATCAAACAATGTGGGAGAAATCCAACCAGCCTGTTCGTTCTCAGAAGAGACAAAGAAGAACTTGAAAGCAGTTGGTTAGTTGGGTCCCAGCTGGGGGATACAGGACCATTTTAGATCACGGAATTGAAATCTGAATGGTTTATGTTCCCAGGATTCAAAGGTTTTAATCTCTAAGATATCTCTTAACATTAGCCTACCCAGATGTGCCATAGGCAGCAGCATGCATTTGTCCCTTCCTCGGGGAGAGCAAGGTGCCAACTACTAACCATAGACAGGAGTGACATGGTGTGTGGTTGGATGCTGTCCTTTCCTCTGCTATGGAGCTGCCTGGTGTCTGTCCCAGCCTTGCTTCAACAGGAACATGGCAGCTAGAGCACAGACTTAGCCAAGGGAAGGCATGCAGCTCTACACAGGCTTGGGGATTGTTACAAACTATGTCAGGCAACAGATGGCAAAGCCAGAAGGCCCTTTAGGAGCAGTGACAGTATGCTGAAATTCCCAATTTGCCTATTTTTCTCTTAGCAGGGACCAGGATCAGCCCATGTGAGCACTAAACCCCACAACCTTGTGGTACAGGTCTGCTTGTCCAGGAGCCATGACTCTCCCTCCTGCTGTGCAGGTACCACTAGTTTCCTACACTGAGGCTCCCCAAAACTGGCAAAGACCTGGGGAAGTTAGCTGGGAGTATCTCAGAGTCAAATTCAGCTGTTTGAGATGGAGAGTGTCTAAAATACGTCCTGCCCACGCAGAGGCCTGGCCCAGCCGCCGGCAGCAGCTCTCTGCAGCGGCCCTCAGTTAAATCTGATCCCTTGCTTTAAGGGGCTGCCTGGTACTTAGTGGAGACCATAAATAGCGATTTATAAACGATCTTCACGCCGATTCCTCTGCCGCTGCTCAGACATCAAAGTCTATAATTCACGCCCTCCCGCGTCCTGAGCCTTGCAAAACTGAGCCTTTGATGTGAGCCCCCCTCGGTACCTGCGTGCAGGGCCGGGCCTGGCTGGGCTGCGGGCATGTGCGCTGCGTGCAGCAAGGCGCCAGGCCCGCTCGGCCAGGCATTTTATAAGGTGTCTGCTGTCACTCAGCCTGTTCCTGAGTCTGTTATCCCCTTTGGCAGGGCCGCGTGGGACGGCTCTGGAACAATGGGGAAGGACCGGGGGGAGATTGCTGGGGGCAGCGTCCAGAAAGCACCTGGCCTCTCCTTCCCCCCCTTCCCCCCAGCACCTGCAAATTAATGGAAACTTCTCCTTCCAGTAGTGCTGCCTGTGCTGTTTAACAAGTCCAACTGCATGCTCTGAGGGCTAGAAACCAGCCTCGCTTCTTGGTGCAGATGGCTCCCAGGATCCTTGCCCAACCCAACTGTTCTTCGGTCAGGGGCAAACACTGGTGCGAGAACAGTGTTGTGTGAACAGTGAGTCAGTTATTATATGTAAGGTGAGACTGAAAAAAAGTTTCTGTAATATGAACTGTTTTCTCTTCCTCATACATGTGAAAGTGCAAAATGGAAGCTCTGTGCTGTGGTCAGGCTGAGGTCTAAGTGAGCTTTGTGGGACAGGTGTCCCATGGCATATGTCACCAGCCTGGCAATCTCTTCCTCTTTCTTCTGCCTCTTTCTACCTCTGTTTTTTAGTTCATGGTGCTGTGGAGAGTAATTTCAAAATATGAAACCAGTGCAGACTCTGGAGAAGGCACACATCTGTGGTCACATCCCTCTTAAACCAAATGACTGTTCAAGTGCAGCATGCTTGACTGTGGTACCATAGTGCTGTGAGAAGGGAGAGAGAGAGGGCTTAGGTATCCCTGATCATCTTCATCACTGCCAATTCAGCCTCTTCGTCTACACATAAGGGCCTGCAGGGTCAGGCACCAGAGCTGGATAAGTCACATGTAAAGCACAGATGAAACTCTATCCATAAAAAAAGCTGCCTGGTGTGGTGTGAAATACTTTGTCTTACAAGCCAGACACTGCAAAGTTGAGAGAGGCGTTTGGGATGTTGGGAGGATTTCAATGTATTTTGCAGCTGGGATGGTTGTGGCATTTTATTTTATTTTATTTTATTTTATTTTATTTTATTTTATTTTATTTTATTTTATTTTATTTTATTTTATTTTATTTTATTTATTTTATTTTATTTTATTTTATTTTATTTTATTTTATTTTATTTTATGTGGATGTCTGTAGAAACATATTGAGATAGTCCTTGCATATGCTGTAGGCTGGCAAGTGGGGAAGAAGAGGCATGAATCATGTCACTCAGCTCTGTATTTAATCATATCAAACTGGTTTGGTTCTCCAACAAGTCAACATATATTATCTGTGTAAAAAAGGCATTTTACAGGACTGGAAGTCTAAATATCATTTATAAATATTTAATTCTACAAGTGATCTTTGCAAAAGAAGAATAGCTCTCCATTATCATACCTGTGTCTATTGAAATATCACCATTATTTATCATCCACTGTTGGTGCAGTGTCCCACTTGGGTCTGGAAGAGTTATTTTCTACCACAGGAGGCTACCACAGCACCAGTCTCATCCTTCTCCCCATGCAAGACATTGTTTGAAATGGGACACACAACCCTGGCATGAGTCCCCTCTGCCCTGGCCCACCACTGCACCAGCACAGCAGCCAGAAGGTCACTCTGTGGAGATGTTCAGTGATACAGTGTCTAAACTTGGGAGAACCTCATGCCATCAGGCTCCTTAACCTTAGGAATCAGAGTTGCTGAAACCTTCTTGGTCAAAGAGCTTTCCTGGAGCACTGGTCACCCATCAAGCTGTGAAAGTGCCCTGCTCCACTGCAGTTGGATTGCTACTATGGTTGCCAAAGTGAACCATAAAAAGCAGTGGCCTTCCCACTCCTGTCCTCATACCCATCCCTGTGGCTTTCTGCCTGTTTAATCTCTCTGACATTCAGTCCAGCTTTGCCCTGCTCTGTTTTGACTCCTGACAAGCCTTTCAATTTGCTCTCCTCTCTGAAGAGCTGAGAAGCCATTGATAGCTCTCCCCCTGAATTATTGAACCTCAGTGTCAGGTTTCGGGCTCCAGGGAGCAGCCCCACACACCATTGATCTGCAGGGCTCAGGTTCATCCTGCTGCTGGCATATGCCTGTCCCTGGATCCCCAGGCAGACATGGCTCTCTGCATGCATGGCTTCTTGCTCTGCTATGGGAGGAGACTCCCATCTTTTAGGGACAGGGCTTTAAAAGATGGCACCTTTGGGGTGGACATCTTGCACTGTCATCCTCCATCTATTAGACAAAGGTGGGAGAAGACAGACTTGTTTGTGTCCATCTTCCCATTTGAAGCCAGCCTGACAGCTCAGGAACCTTGAGCCCTGTGTGTCCGCTCCTGTGAAACAGAGGTGTGCTGTTGAGGTAGCGCCAAGATCTTCTGTTGGAGCAGAAGGCCAGGAAGGGACAAGGCATCAGTCTGGTTAGAGACTTTGCTCTTCTTGGAGAAACAATCCTCCCTGGAGAAGACAGTGTCAGGGAGTATCTCATTTAAACCGCACTGGTGTTTTTCCCCAGCTGCCCAGGACTTTCTTCTTGTCACTGCTCTACCAGTTGATCAGAAAGCAGACACCCATTCGCACCAGAAATGTCCCCAGTGTTTTCATACGCTGTAGGGAATTGTTTTCTGAAGACCACTAGAATGTTTCTTGACTACTGAAGACTGATAGCATTTTTCACCATATTTTTAACAGGAACATTATTCATCCCCTTTTATCACTACCATTGTTACAGCCACTGCATCATGAAAGGGAGCAGGTAGCCCTCACACACCAGCCTGTGTCACCACATGTGTCCCCTGGCACTGCTGGGCAGTGCTGATTACCCAGGAAAGAACAGATTTCCCATACTCCATCCTTTCCTTACCTAGACAGGGCATTTTTAGCCCCTGGCCACTCCATGGTACTTCCCCCAGAGGCTGGCAGGATGCAGCGGCATGGCAGAGCCAGAGTGCAAATGCATTTCAGTAGAGGGAGAAGAGGAAGGGCAAGTGTGGATTTTATTAAGTGATAACACATCTTCAAATCAGATTATGGGAAATTTTCGGGGGCACCTCAGCATTGATTGGCTGGGCCAGCATTGGCGAGGCTGTGTGGGAGCACGTCGGAGCATGTGCAATCGGATCCCTTCCATTAGCCTGATCGATAGCCACTGTGTGGGGGGAGTGGGCAGGAGTGTGGACAAAACTGCATGAATATATACACAGGAACCAAGAAATCACATTACAGACAAAGAATCTGAGCACAACATGGGTAACCCTTTCACCCCAGGCCAGGGGGAGCATTAATGCTTTCAGGGCAGCCCGCTGGCTCCAGTGCTAGATCAGGGAATGACCAGGTTGTGGCTTGGTGTAGCAGTAGGAAGCAGTGAAGCATCACTTCCCTTGTGCCTGGCTTGCTGGAGGCCAGGTGTGTTTCTTTGGCTGCAAGGGGTCTGATAGCACATGCTCTCATATACATTACTTGGTTGGGCACCAGGAGTTTGAGAAGCCTGTGTGGTGTCCCCACTGCTCTTTGAAATGGAGTACTTGTGGATTAGTATCAGACACACCATCCATGTGATGCACAAGGAGAAGGAACTGCCAAAGGGCTTGAGAATCACCACAGAGCTAAGCCAAGCCCAGCCTGCAGGCCACGTCTTCCTCCATCACTTCTCACCAGCAATTTTCTGTGCAGCCTCAGGAAAGTGGGAGTTGTGGGTCTCCCTTCTGCATCGTCCATTGTCTTCAGCAACCACTAGTGCTTGCAGGCAGGCAGAGATTGGTACACCCAGTCCAAGGTACACCCACTCCACAGAGCAGGGAGGGAAGGAAGGAAGGAAGGAGGGAGGGAAGGAGGGAGGGAAGGAAGGAAGATTGGATGAGACGGATCTCAGAAAGACAGAGAGCTAACATTGAAGAGAAAAATAACACATTTATAAAATCTTCTCTGCTTCTTACAATCCTAGGATTTCATAGGAAATGCGACAGAGCTTGTTGTCCTCTGAATCGCGTCCTTTACATCTCACATTCAGGATTTCTGAACAAAAAAGTGCCAGAGAAGAATAATGCAGCTGTGGGAGCCTTCCCACTTTCACCTGCAGTGTGGTCTGGAGACCCAGGATTTCAGCTCCCTCTCCACCAAGCCCCACTTATCACATTTCAATGCCCTCCCCAGCCATGCCTGCCTTTCCAGTCCTGTTTTGACACTTCTAATTAGCAGACATTTAACACCTTGTTTTGCTTGGACTCTGCCTTCAGCCAGACAACACATCGATGGCCTTTGACTTCTCCCCTGACCTCGGCGAACCTGGCAGTGCAGAGCTCTTGGCATCCCTCTGAACACATCCTGTCCAATTTCCTCCTGCTGCCCTCTGCTCCCCAGTCCCCACGGCCCTCCCCAGCCGTGCCGGGGCTCTGTACGGCAAGATGTGACGCGCAGCCTTTCCCTTCGTAAGCGCTTTCCTGAACATGATTTAAAGCACTGAAGCAAGAAGAGGGGGGGAAAAAAAAGACCTGTAATAAAGTCAGCACTCTGCTTATTAAGGGGAAAAGGCTGTGCTTTACTTACACTAACATTAATTAGATAGATATATAGGGAGCAAAGAGGTGTCTAGGAGATTTATACAGGGCTGCTAAAGATGGATGTGAGGATTGACAGACAGCAGCTCCCTTAGAGTGCCAAGAACGAGGTAACTGGGAAGCAGTGATGGGGAGCCAAACAGCAGTGGTCTCAGTGATGCTTAAGTAAAGCAAGTGTGAGGATAGATGAGGATGTTTGGACCTGCCAAAAATACCTGGGGGTGCCATGAAGCTGTAAGGAGATGCAGATGGGGAGTTCTGGGATCATCCTCACAGAGGAGCATGTCTCCCTCTCCTGTTCCCCTTTTCTGTACAGGCAGGCAGGTGTACTGATAGCTGAAGTCTTTTAAGCAATACTTTGTCTTTCTGCAGAAATCTATAGTCATCTGGATGCCATTACCAAATTGAGGAGACACTCAAAGCTGTTTATTTTCATTGTGAGACTTTTCTCCCTCAGCCTCCTTCCTCACTGCATCAATAAAATATTTTCCTACCATTCCCAGCATTGGATGGATAGCAGAGCAGCAAGCCCATCATGGCCTTTACATGATCCCCTGGAGAAAGGTGTTCTGTTAGCATCTGATAAGAGCTGGTCCTGTTTTTCTCAGTGCATCCTGTCGAGGCAGAAGTCCCTGCCCCAGATGCCCCAGCTCCTATCCACATGCAGCAGGGCAGAACCATGTGCATGCCACTAACACAGCAGAACAGGTGACCATATTTTTGGTTCTTCTGGGCCTGCCTTTATGGCCATCTGGACCATCCTTTTCTTGTGCTTCTGTTTGGGGAGGTGACCACACCTGTGGGTCCAGCAGAGGTAGCTGAGCCCATAACACCTGCATGCTCTGTGCTTTTCACCCACCTTCGTCCTTCCTCATGTGTCACCTTGCAGAGAACAGAACTTCTCACTGGCCCTTTCCCAGAGGTGCTTCAGCAAGGACATATCTGAAAGTGCCCTGTGGCACCTTTGCAACTGTTGAACTTTCTGCTTCGCCAAGACAGTTAGCATCCTTGGGCTTTCTTCAGTCTTCTCCAAGCATTTCTTTACCTGCAAGGACAAAATCTGACTGAAACAGGAGAGGAAGTTTAACTGTGTGCTCTTGCAGCCACAGTGGAGAGGCTTCACTCATCCTAGGACTGTCAGGCACTTGCACGTCACTGAGAGACTTCCCCAGCCTGCAGAGCTGGCTGTCTTGTTAAATCTCTGTTCCCATCTGCTTCACACAGGAGCTTCCACACAGGGAAGAGCCCAGGGCTACATGGGGAGGCTGTGACAGAGGTGGGAGTTCAGCTGAGGTCTCTT